CCCCCGATATACATCTCAACCCTCACTTGGCAGCCACAGCATGGAGCTCTCATTAGCCCTTTGTAGGGCTTATTTCTTAGCAGAGGAAACACTGTCTACAGGAAGACCTTTCCTGTCTAGGAAGGGACTTGCCTGGTCCAGGCAAGGGCTTGCTGCAGAGAGCAGTACTGCTGCCATCCAAGCTGGGACTCAACATGTCAGAGGTCTCTCCTTACCCCTGATCCACCCTGGGATGGGCTGTCTGGTTTGGACACTCCATTTCTTATGGTCTGTGGTCTGAGATGGGCAGCTGAGCTGCTGTGGGCAGGGCACTGCCCTGTGTCCAGGCAGCACAGAGGCACAGTGGGACTGTCCCAGACACCACGCTGGGGTCTGGTCCTGCTGCTCTGGCACGCAGGGCACTGCTGGCAGGTTTGGGGTGGGGGCTGCAGTTATACTACCTGGATTTTTCGATGAGGGCTGTGGTCACAGAGACTAGTCAGGCACCCACAGCTGCCTCTGTGCATCTGGGGCTGGCTGCAAAAGCAGTAGTGGAGGAGGACAAGGGTTGGCTGGGGATGGCAGAGCCGCCACCTTGCCTCACCTGGGAATTGCTCCAAGGGTTTGGGTAGGGCTGAGGAGCATTTCTGCGGCCTGACGTAAGGTTTTCCTCTCCCTCTGGGAGGGAGAGGTGCTGCTGAGCAGTATGGCTCCTGGGGAAGCCCTCCTGCAGGGGCAGGGATCTGCTGCCTTTTCTCACAGCTTTCCTCCTCTCCTGGGGCCAGGCAAAGCTCCCCAGGGGTTCTGAGTAGGGCAGGGCACTTTGTGCCATGACTTTGGAGTTCTGGTTCAACGGTGGGGTCACTAAATTACAGGTTGTACCGATAAAGAGCTGGCAGGAGCAACATCAGGCTGTAATGCCATGTTTCACCCTTGCTTGGCATTTTCCATCAGTCTTTGCCAGCCTTCGGGATTCAGGTCCCGCAGTTTCTTGAGGGAATGTCAAAATCCACATATGTACAGGAGGGGAAACTGAGGCATAGTAAAAGGAAAGCCAACACTTCCACATAACAAAAAGAGGTACAGCCTGAACTCCAGAGGTGTCCCAGAGGGGCTGCTCCACTTGTCCCCTGTGACCAGCGACTCTTTGACTTTCCCTCTGGCAGCTCTTTGGACACAGACCAGAGCTATTCCTGCATGTTTCTTTCTAGGGTTAGGTGTAGCAAATCCTATTTTTTATAGGATTATGTGTTGCTTCCTTTTTTGGAGAAGAGAGTCTAGAGCCTGGGTGCCTCTAAGGAGGAACAAGAAGGGGACCCCAGCTGGTTTTGGCTAAAACCTCCTTGCCTGTAGCGTTGCCCTTCCTTGCTTTGAATTATATTTATTGTTGCTGTGGTACCTGCTAAAGGATGCTCTGTGCATCCTCCCAAATGCTTTGCAATTACACCCTACCTCCTAACGAACAGCAAAGCTACTAGCCTCGCCTGAAAAAGAAACCACGAGTCCCACTCGACCGTAACCATAACCCTCGTGCTGCTGCCGAGGTGGGAGCTGGTGGGCAGCCCCTAAAAAGGCAGCTACCAAAGGAAAACTTGCCTTTGGAAATACCATCCTGCGACTTACAAAGCTGTATGGGGTCTTGTTTCACCAGCTGCCTATGGCCGCTGGCTTTTAGACCCGATTGCCATGACCCCAAGAGCTGAATCCTTCAGCATAGACACTGAATTCTCAATTTGTGAGTTCTGAGGGCTCAGAACCTATTAAAAAGAAGGGGTTTATCCCCTTTGCCCCTCACAGAAACAGAATGACTGCTGCGAATTTATTGTTCCAATCTGCATGAGAGCGTAGCTGAGCTGGCCCCAGTTAGCTGGTGGTTTCTCTTTTGAACATAGATGTGGGAAATGTGATGAAAATGAGCGCATAAATTTCTGTGGGTGCCTTTCCAAAAAACTCTCATTTGAGATTTATCAAATGAAACAGTGCTCTGGGAGGTTGTTTCGGCTTTGGCTAAACAAAGATGTTTGTAGCTGAAGTCTTATTGCTGGATTTTTGTCCAGTCTGCTGCATTTTCCAGTTTCTGCTTGCTACAAGGGGAATTAAAAAAAAAAAAATATATATAGGGTGGGTATTTACTTTGGAGGTAGACAAGCAGGATGGTGGGGGTGACAGGCATGCACCCAGGAGGGAGGGACAGTACTGCGAGACACAGAAGAGCCTTTTCCACCCCACCTCTGCTGTCAAGCAGCCTTCTGGCCTCGGGAGAGCGGCTGCTCCCTGCATTGTTTCATTCCCTTAGGAGACAGTGATATCACTGCTATCCCCATCTGAGAAATCAAAGGCTACCACTGAGGGCTCGGAGACTGAAATCTTCCTACCCCCTTCACGGAGCCGGAGGTGAGCATTTACAGATCTGCTTTTGTTCACCGGGGAGATAAGCAAGAGCTCTTTGGGTGCTGGTCGCTGCTATCTGCTGCCTGTAGGCATTACAAAGGGCAAGGGGGGAAGTGGCGAGAGCTGCTTCTTAAAACTGCTCCCTGTCCCAACCTTCATCCTCGCCAAGGCCTTTTTTTGGGACAGCTGTAATAAAGGTTAAACGGCAACACAAATAAACAGAGCAGTTTTTCCTTGGCCTGAATCATCTGTGTGATGCAGGTTTGCCATTTATCCATAAATATCCTGACAGCTCATCATCCAGGCAGGAATACTGGATGCCTATGACACACTTCACTCCAAAAAAGAAGTTAAAAAAAAAAATCCCCAAACAACAACCGCCTTAATTTCAGACAAAACAGGATGTACAATTTTATTCCTGTGCTGAGCTGCTTTAAATGATTGCCTCTAAACTTCTGGAGAGGAAAGGAGGGCTGGAACTTCCTTTTAAACTTGTAATTAATTGCTTGCAGAGAAAAAAAAAAAAAGCAAGCAAGCAAAAAAAAAACCCCACCAAAACCAGAGCCCTTTGAAATGTTTCCACTTTAAACCGGAGCTGAACGCGTTGCTGAGGCCATCACTGATTGTTCCTGGGAAGTGCCCAGCAGGGACATGTGGCCACCCTGGGCAAGCCCAGAGCAGCAAGGATGGGGCTGAGCATCCCTTGCCAGGGTAATGCAGAGGTACCTGCCACCACCCCAATTAGGCAGCGCCAAAATCCCAGGGCCACCTTTCAGCATGGCTATGCAGCTGGTTTTCAAATGCCTTTTCTTTTCCTTCGTGCATCGCCTTTTGTTTTGGAGATGAAGGGATGTCTGTGTGCTAAATAAAGGGGTTCTTCAGTTTAGCATTAAAAAAAAAAGGGGGGGAGGGAAAAGTAGAAAAACTGGTGCTTTTTAAGCCGGCAACTCTAAGGGCAGAGGGGTTACCCATGGCCACCCATCACCAGCTGAAAGTCTGCGGGTGCAGCAAGGAGCTGCATTTAGGAAAAATCCGCGCTGCTCATCAATTTGGTGCACAGCAGCATCTCCCCTTCGAGAAAGGATGAACAGGGTGAGCTGTGATGAGGTCCACCTTGAGTCTGAACTGAATGCCCCATGCCCATGGAGCTGCAGCTGGGAGGCCGGCTGTTTTTCTGGGTTCAGGTATGGGACCAAAAAATGGGGCCAGGGAGGCACTGGGCCACAGGGCATCATCTTGGGGAGGGTTGCTCAAAGGCCTGCTAAATAAGCTCTTTGTTTTTGGGTAGCCGGTGCTGGCAGAGAGTCAGGGAAGAGCTGACATGGTAACTCACTCCTGCGATCCTGTGGCCAGGGGTGGATGGCAGCTCTACACGGCTGGGGCTTGAGTGGCTTGTGTAAGTTTTAATCGAAGTTGGGCATCCAACATGAGGTTCTTTAATCCATGTTGGCTCTGAAGGAGCCGTTTTTTTCAAGGGTGGGGAGCATCTGCCACTCCTCCGGAGTTATGGGCGACTGTGTGTGGAAAACAAGCTCCTTTTGAGGGCCGGCCTGGGATGGAACCACAAGCCATCAGCGTGCATGGCTTGCCTGGCTGAGCTGGAGGGGCAAAGGCTGCCAGCCTGAGCATGGGGAAATCAAAACAGAGGGGTTGCCTTGGCAATGCTGGCTTGCCCACATCCTGTGTGCTGCAGAGCAACCACAGCGGCTGGGGATGGAGGTAGAGTTCACAGAAAAGTTGCAGTTCACTGAAAATAGGGGGCAAAGGGCTCGAAACGACTATGCAGGTTCACCTGTGGCAGATGGAAGACCGCTGGAGATATTTTAGGGCCTGATTTTGCAAGTTAAGTCCTTTAGGCTCAACCCTCAATACGCTGTTACATCTTTGTGAAGTTCTCTCCAGCCTAACAAAGCCCAACCTGCTCCTCTCGGCTGACACACAGGCTCAGGTAGGAGTGGGCCCGCTCTCAGGTGCTTCTCCATGCATCCATGTTGAGAGCACGAGCCACTCACAGCTGGAGCATGACCAACCTGCAGGCCATGACCTGAGGGGGCTTGGCCCCACAGTACTTCTAGGTCATGTGAACTCACCTGCGCTCGTTGTCCAGCTGCAACTCGGGACTTGCTGAGGTGACAGGAAAGTGTCTGACCTGCAGCCACCCCTATTTCCTTAATGTGGGTGAGACCTCACTTTATGGAACTGATACTAAGCAGTGCAAAGCAGGAATCACAAATTAAACTCGACCATTTCCTTCAGTCATTGGTTTGCTTTACACCCACTATCCACCAGCAGTGACAGCTATGGGTGAGGCTGAGAGGGTAACTTCTCTCTCAGCCTGCGAGCTCTCTGACACAACCAGCAGAGACACAGCTACGCACACACACACGAGTGACATCTATTTTCCTGTTTGCACCTGCAGACTTAAAGGAAAACTGAATGAAACCTGACACTGAGGGTGAGTAGTTTCCTTAGCTAGGATTGCACGTTACTGTTTTGGAAATGGTTAATAATAAGTTTTGCGGCTGGTCTCCAGGAACTCATAGCAGGCTCCAGACACCTTCCTCAAACGTTAAAAGACAAACACCAAGAGCGACCACCCAGCAAACAAAACCAACTAAAGCTTCATCTCCCGCTGCCATCAAACCTTCCAGACAGAAGCAGCAAGTAGATGCTTTCATTCCCTAAAGGGAGTGATTTGGAAAACTACCGATATGAATGTTGGATAACAGGGTTAAAGTGAAACTATTTTGCAAGCGGCTGCCTGGAGCCCGCTCCGCCATGCATGGTCATCTGCACACACACGGCTGCCACCAGCTCCGGGATCGGGGCAACTTCCTGATCAAAAGACCAGGTTTGCTTTTAGAAAAACACCGCTGTCACCCCTGCCAGCACCGGGAGCTCCCCTGAGCCATCCTGGTCTCCTCTAAATGATGGCAGAGGCAGCGCTGCCCCCCCCCCGGCTGGCAGGCGGCCCCCCCCAGCCCACTCAGGGCCCTCCCTAGGGTGGCTCACAGGCGTTTTTGGTTTCAGGGGACTGCAGCCACCTGGGCCAGCCCTGTGGCTCTCGAGGGGAGAAGTAACAGCACAATTTGTTGGTGCAGCCTTACCTCTAGGTTTGGCCGCCCGAAACCCCCGGTGCTAGACAGGCCCTTCTGGTGACCGGCGGCCCCTGAGCTGCTCTTCCTCGCCGTTTCTCCGAGTGCCACTGTCCCCACCCGCCTGTGCCACGGTCCCAGCGCCCCTGCCCAAACCCCAGCCCCA